AACGCATGAGAGCAATAGGAAGCACAGACGGAGTGAAAAGATGCGCGTCGCGATCATCGGTGGTCAATGGACTTGGGCTTCTTGAAGAAAATCAAAAAATGAATGAATGGAAGTGCGAGATCACGTATTTGCAGCGCCTCAAGTCATATTTCCATTCTCTTACAAATTCCAAGACTTTGAACAAGAGGCAGTTCGCACAAACAACAATTTGTACTGGCTACAGCAGAATCAGGGGATCCTGTAAAGCACAACGAATTAGAGTGTCAGAAAGTGAATATTCTGGATATAAATACAACAAAATAGTATGAGGCTTACATGATCAGCTGCGAATCACACATTCTGATTCTGTCGTGTGTAGAACATAAGCAATCTCTGCCTCTACTTCCCCAGTATGGAAATATTCTAATCTTGCTCGATTTGAATTAGTTCATTGAACTTTCCGGGGAGATATGTCTACGTCAGGTTCAATGTTGAGTGAATCTCATTTTGAGACTCAATTGAAGAATGAACAGCAGGAAAGGTGTCTATTTAAGCTACATTTCTTCAAGTGGCAGCAGTCTTCGAAAGCTCACATCGACAAGGTAAAGAGGAATCTCCTGTTCTAAATGTAGCCAAACAGTTTACGGACGATTTCTCAGATGATGCGAAGATCGGATATGGTATCGGCACAGGCAAACTCAGCTAGTTCGACTACTTCGTAGAGCAGCTCTGATGAACGTTTGTAGATCGTCTTGAATGCTCACTGCTTGCATTCGCTGAGAGTATGAGAAGTAAGTGAGAGCTTAAAAGAGTCTTAAAGCAAGCGAGAGCTAAAACAAAAAAAAATCTTAATGGATAGTTCAGCAACGATGACAATTTTGTTGATGTCTGATCATTCAATCGGACGAAAAAAGGTATCTTCTTAGAACTTCAGGATGCAAGAAAACTGGTCACCTCAACCTGCACCGCATGTTAGAGTCAAATGAATTTTATTGTGGAAAATACAGTAGAACCTGTCCAAATTTAACCTGTTTAATTTAGAACCCTTTCTAAATTGAACAAAATATATGGACCCATGTTGGGCACCATACAGTTACACGTGTTTCAATTAAACCTGTTTATTTTTACCCTCTCTAAAGCAAACACGGTCCGCCAGTCCCTACATGTTTTATTTAGACAGGTTTTACTGTAATTATAAAGCGTACCCTGATCCACAGATGGCGCGGCTGGGCAGATTACAAAAAATTACTGGCTTTCAGACCAGATAAAAACAGTCTAAACAATAGTGTTCTGTAAAATATCACAAACTGATCCTGTCGCGTTTACGAGGAACGCTGTGGACCACATACAAGAAGCTAGATCAAACCTCATTGATTTGTCAAAAGCTTGAATGAAATTTATGAAACTGCAATATCTAGATCACGCGAATCTATAAATTTGAGTGCCCGTCTTTTTAAGGTTTGAAAGAAAAGGCAAACATGCTAGTATTAATCGCGTACAAGTACCATTTTTTTGTACGAAATCGGACCTAATTTTTGTAATATCCGTTTTGCAAGTAGTAGACATTATATTTATATTAACCACTGGTACGAAGAGATACTATTACTACACAAAGGAACGCACTGCAATAAATTAATATGTGCAACCGCTCTTTTCATTACACAAGATTCAAATGAATGGTATTTACTAGAAATAGCTTCTAATACATGCACTTTTTTATCACAACAAAATTGAGTAGCAGATTTATTTGCTGCTTGAAAGGTTCTCAGAGCGCTCATTCCGATCCTATGTGCGCTGGTTGACGCCGACGCATTAAAGCTTTATCTGTGCGATATATAAGCATAAGCTGTTGCATTTATAAGCATTCGTCGTCAATTTCACAACCGCATCTACTTGTAACGGTGTAATATAAGATTCACCACGAGTTGCTCACCTACCAGTCCTCGTGGAGCACAACACGTCTGACAAGCTTCAATTTTTTATTGCTCGCTCTAACCATAATACTACTTGTGCTACGCACCAGACATTTACGAAGCAATGGCGATAGAATTTCTATGAGAGGCTGCGACCAAGAATGCATCTTTACGTCCCGCACCTCTGTGTGACATCATAAACAATACGATAGTGTTGTAAGGGAAGATAATAAAGATGCTGAAATTGCCTTACCAGGTCTTCTGTCCGCGATAGATTTCTTCTCTGTCGATTAAGCGGGTTTTGTCCAGTATTTCAAAATCAATTCACAGGCAAAATGATGACAGATCCCATTCCGAAATCGAAAAGAATTATTATTGTCAAATGCGGCCTCTGAACAATCATTTACTTAATTCGAGATCTCCGCGTCCACCCAAATTTTTTGAGGGGGGGCAGTGTACAGCGGACCTGCGGTAGCTCTTTTGCTTAGGTCATGGTCACCGACCTTACGTTCTATACTAAATATAGTACGTGTGTATTGAATCGCAATCCGCTTCCTCCAAAAGTAACCACAACCTCAATCCCAAGGCAACTAAACTCTTCCTTTCAAGTGTAAACTGTACTATTTTGTATGATTTGCGGTAGAGCCGCCAATACCTAAATCTATAGGTCTTCTAACTAAATAGTTGTAACGGGTTACACATACCCTGGTATCAGGTGTGTGTGTCACACCAGATGGGCATGGTGTGACCACACAAAAACAAGAATACGGTAAGGGCCTGGATAGCCAGTAGTTATACATGTATCTAAATCTTAACATACGTAGGCAAATCTATGCATTTAAAATTAGGCCACTTTGCTGCAATTAAAAATAAATAAAGTCATCTATGACTTTAAACGGAGGAGATAATTAGCCTTGGGTTAAAGCTGTAATTACTCTTGGGGTAGGCTGATTGCGATCCGCTAAGCTCGTACTTGTTTTAAGTATAAACGAAAGGTCAGTGACCTAGCTTAGCTTCCTCTAAGCGCAAAGCTGCGGCAGCCCCGCTGCAAAAGTAAATGTTAATTAGATTGTAAAACTACTGGCAGTCTCGCCACGTAGTGGCTTCTTGGTAAGGTGTAGCCACACCATTACGTGGTCACACCATCATGTGTGACCTGCCCCTTCATACCAGGGTACGTGATCCCCGTTACTCTTTCCCCCGTAAAATCTGTAAATACCCACAATTTACCTCGAACTGTTGCTTCGTAGGAGTGGCGCGTGTCTAGGACACTTCTACAACCCCTGGAGCTACTTCACGCATTCTCTGCTCAATGATCCCTGCGCCTAAAACACAAAAGACATATATCCTGGCTGGTAGCGGGGACGTCCGCGAGAAAAGCCCTTCTTCCTCTGCACAGGGTGCATCTCCGGACAGTACGTCCGCGGCTTCTAGGAAAGCACATCCTAAGTCCTCGGCGACCGAGCGCTGAACACCGCGCCCATCACGGGCGACGGATAACATCGTCGAGGATATGGCGGGAGTCGACTACGAGTCGTATACACCTTTCCTAGGATGGGAAGAAGAGGAGGGTGAGGTGCGCCGACGGCGCGACGTGATCGGGACACCGTGTTCGTTTCCTGATCTCTCGACTCCCGGAAAAGTGGTAATTTTACCAGTCACCTCGACGAGGCACAGGAACAGCAATTGGAGGCTGCTCACAGGGTGAGTTTCATGTGCTACTATCCACATTCGTTCCTTGACCCTCGTTTAAAATACGGATTCCGCTTGGCGGATCCTGCTACTGGAGCGAATGGTGCGATCGCTCGATCGTTAGGCGACTACGTAGTCTCGTCCCCGGCCACGACACAAGCCGAGCTTAATCAAAGCTCCCCGAGCTCGCTTCTTGGTACCTCAAAAAATTCCAATGGATAGGTACCGCACTCGAGTACCGCGCTCGACTATGAGCTCAAAGAGGAGGCGCTATCATACTCGCAATGCGGACGATTCCGGTGGTACTCGCCCCTAGCAAAATCACTACATATGATAAGGGGCTCTTTGAGCGATAGATGCAGCGGCGCCAAAGACTTTCCTCGCTGCCTTACTCACAACAAATCCTTTAGGAGTGGAAGTGCGCGTGAATCACCATCTGTGGCTCAAGTTTGCCAAACTCAAGGTGCATCGTCGACTTCGTTCGTATCAATCGGGTGTGTCTGCGACCACAGCAGATCAGGGCCATAGCTTGTGCTCAGCTCATGCCATTTCGGGATCCCTGGCTATTGCCGAGAAGCGCGAGGCGTACGACGACGCCGAACGTCATGATCCCGCTGATTGTAAGGGTCTACAACGTTCGAAAAGTATTGCCGAAGCGGCACATCAAACTCGACCGAGATCTTGGAGTCGTGGTATTACAGCCACCTCACAAGATATTTGGTTTGACCTTCGACCCACAAGACGTTCTACATGATAATGTTTACGTCGAGAAGAGTCGGCGGCTGGAGATGACGACCTAATTTATCGCGGTCCGGTGACTCGCAATGCCCTTCGAGCATTGTAAGACAAAGTTTGTCGTCATCGGCACTTCGCCGAGCATCTCTCCGGGTTGCCTATCGCTATGCGGAAGACCTCAAGAGTCTGGAGAACTTTGCGCATCGACTGCCTCGCGTTGAAAATTATCGTGCTATGTCGGAGCGGCTTCGAGCCGTCGGGCAGACAAATACGTCACTTCGTGCGACGGTGGGGGGACTTGCGCTGTTGGAAATGGAAATTGTTGCACTCCGTACTCAGAATCAGTTGCTGGTTCAACTTTTTGGTGGCCGAGTGCCTTTGGGC